GGGCACTTCACCCCTAGGGCAGCAGTCTTTCTGCCAGTCCCTTGAGGCAGCAGCGTCCCGGGATCCTAGTCCCTGCCCCCGTGCTGCTGGGGCTGACAGCAGGTTGGGTCCCTTTGCAGCTGGCTCATTGCCATCCTGGCCCAGGCCAACCCCCTGTTCGGGCCACAGCTGAAGAACGAGACCATCTGGTACGTGCGCTTCCTCTGGGAGTGAGCAGTCCCCAGGAGCCGGTGCCTGAACAGAGATCCCCCCACCAAAATTGTCAACCGTAAGTGGGCAGAAGGCTGGGTGTGGCAGAGATGTCCCCGGAGCTGTAGCCTGGTACGTGCTGGGTGGGAGATGTGCATTGTGGCTGTGGTGAGCTGGTCTTGGCGTGGGGCTGCTGACCTGCACCGGGCCTGAGCAAACTGAGTGCTTCCCTCTGAGCCTGTAGTTCTCTAGGTTTGTGGCAGCTCCCTCAAGGGTGCAATGTGGTGCTAACTTCTCCTCCTTTCTCCCTCCGCCAGCTCTTGCTGCTGTTCCAGCCTCTACCCTCCTGTACCAGGCAGCCCCCAGAGGTGCTGGGACAGAGGCTGGACCCGCTGCCCCAGCACACCCTGAGCACTGCAACCTGGACCAATGATGGCTGGGCCCCTGAGCACCGCTGCCTGGGAGCAGGGCCTGGTAATCCCAGCCCTGGGAGCAGTCACACAGCCAGGGAAAGATCCCCTCCGCTGGCCACATGCTGCAGTCACTGACACTGAGCACCATCCTGAGAGAGATCTGTGTATAGTGCCAATGGATCCTGTCCCTGCAGTGCTCACCCTGCTCCCTCCAGTGTGCTTAGCCCTGGCCCCCCAAGTGAAACCCCTGCCCCCAGCCCAAGCTGCCCCACTAGTTATCCCTGGTCATTTCAGGCACCAGCTGCCCCTCTGCTTGAGAAGGCAGGAGGCAGAAGCATCCTCTGTTGCATGGTCAGGCCCTGCAGTGAGGTTGGTCCTTGCCAAGACGGATTCTGGCTGTGGGTGGGAGAAGGGAGGGCTGACCCTGGAGGAGTTCTGCTGCTTGGCAGCTGCCTGAAGGGCATTAAAGGGGTGCTGTGTCTCCTCCCACCTCTAGCAGTGATGGTGTCTAGGTACCATCACCCCAAAATGTGTCCAGGTTCAGAGAAGAACTGAGTAGGGAGTTGTGTTTTAGGTTTCCCCATATTTATTAGATAATTCATGTGTATTCATTATTTGTCTGTGTGTGTTAAATTTGTGTTGTGGAAATAAATCCTTTTTCTAGTAAGTGATGCTGGAGGCAGAGTCACTTGCTGCTTTGAGGCTGAGGACAGTCATTGCTTTATTCAGATTTCTTCCCTTCCCCCTAAGCCTGCTCTTGCACCATGAGAACAAGGCTGGGATCCTCAGCTGTTAGGCAGGAGTTTGGCAGCACACTGGTGCATGGAAAGTTTTATCCTTGATGTCACCTGTGCATTCGTCCTGTGGGACCAGGGTCACAGGCAGGCAACAGCATGTGCTAGAGGGAGAATTGGTACCTGCTCAGCCTCTCTTGTGGTAGGCAGCTGTGCTGGGGCTGTCCCCATGGCTGTGCAGCAGCTGGAGTTTAGTGGCCTCTTTCCCAGGCTGGGGTGAGGAATAAGGTAAAAAGCAGAGAGCAACATCTTCCCCGGCTCTGAGTGGGCAGGCTCAACTTCCTTGTTTTAGGAGGAGAGAAGGGGCAGCAAAGGATGCTGTCTCCAAGGATCACAACAGTTCAGTTTAGATAACAGCTTCCCTTGCTGCTACCAGCTCAGGAGGGTGAGCTCAGCTGTCCTTCTGCTGGAACAGCAAAGAGCAGCTGCTGGCAAGAAGCAACTCCACTGTCCTACTGTGGCAGCATGAAGCAACGCTGTGCAGACATCTGCTGGCCCCCAGTCATGCTGCCAGCCTGGAGCCATTGCTGCTGGGGAGGTGCTCGCTAGAAAACAGGACCAGTGCTGGATGGCTCAAGGGGTTTGTTTATTGCTACAGGAATGGGAACAGCTGAGTTCAAGTAAAAAGTGACAAAATTCATTGGGTCATCAGGGGCTCCAGCCCCAGGGGAGGAAGGCTTGTGCCTGTGTACACAGCCTCAGCCCAGACCCACCCTAGGGCAGTGAACTGGGCTGGAGTGAAGTGCTTCCGCCATGGGCAGGCCCAGCCTGTGCTCATGGGGGAAGAGAACCACTGGTCCTGGTGCTAGTGCCTGATTAACATGTGGAACACCACGGGGCAGACATGCCCAGGAGGGAATGTATGAAAGGAAATGCAGCCCACTTGGGTGATGCCTTAGGAACTAATCCCTGAGCCCTCAGTGGTGAGCCTGGGGCATTGGCTAGGACTGCAGGAGGATTGTCCTGGGGGAAGAAGACATGGCAAGGAGCAGGACACTTCTTAAGGAACACTCTGAGAACGGCCAGGGTGGCCAGAGCAGCTCAGTGGAACTTGTGGCTCACCTGGTTCCTGTAGTAACTTTGGGAGCGACTGCTGTTCTCTAGCCTGTGGTCTTGTAAGAGACTGCAGAAAGGCTGTCCCAGGTGATGAGCTGCAGCATGGAGTGGCCCAGTGCTTCAGGCTACAGCCCTGGGTTGGCCACCTCAGTGATAGTGTCCTGCTTATATGAGGGACCTGCCAGGGCTGCAACCTTGAGCCTGCTGGCAGCAGAGGACTTTGCTCCACACTGGGTAGTGAGGCAAAGGCTGGAGGCCAAGGAATGCAATGATTAGGACTGGGGTGAGGCAGAGGAAAGCTCCAGTGTCCATAGCTGCCTTGGCCCACAGGCTCTGGTTCTGATGTGGAGATGATTGGAGTGCAGAGTTGAGATGGTCTTTAAAAAGGAGTCCAAGCCCTCTGAGTCCAGGCTGTCAGCCAGTCCTGGTTCTGCTGGTGCAACTGGACAGTGGGTACCACTGGTGTCATGGCCCAGTCCCTTGGGCCGGCGGCACCACCACCTTGTCCAGCCAGAGCAGGGTGAGCTGGGCCAAGCGCAGCTGCCGGCGGTGGATGCGGCGCAGCCGCAGGAGGTAGAGAACTATGGCCAGCACTACAACCAGGATGCAGGCAAAGAAGAGATAGTGGTTGTAGACAAAAGAGAGGCGCAGCCAGGAGGCGTGTGCTTGCCGGATGCTCTCCTGCCGGAGATCCCTGCGGAGAAGAGTCAGGACTGGCTGTGAGATGCTGTGGGGTGCTACTAGGGTTCTGCGCCACTACTCCTGTTGCTGGAGCGGCACAGCCCTTGCCCAGTGCAGTAACTCCTGCTCCTCCCCAACCACCCTTGCCCAAGCGATGCCATCAACGAGCCAACGGTACCTGAGTGGCAGAAACCGCGTCTTGTAGAGGATGGCTCCCAGCGTCCACTGCACCTCCCGGTCATACACCAGCTGGGCTGTGCGCAGGCTGGGGTAGTCCAGGGGGAAGCGGAAGCCCTCGTGAAGGACTTGGTACATCCAAGCTGACTTGAAGCACTGGTACCTGCAGGCACGGTATGCAGGAGCATCAGCCAGACACTGCCACCTGCACCACGGTCCCTCACCCCAGCAAAAGCCCTGCCAGGAGGTCCAGCCATGGCACCTGCCTAGCAAAGCCACTTACTTCAGCCGGTGCTGGTCAGCGTGTGCCGAGTAAAGGCCGCCACGGAAGCGCTGTGTCAGCACCTCCCATCGCTGGCTGCAGTATTCCTGGAGGAAGAAGTCAGGGCTCAGAGCAAAGAAATGGCCCCCACTCCCTCCCAGTCCCAGGTACAGTAGCTCCCTGGCCCCCGGGCTGGGGCAGCACCCACCTGGGCAGCAGCAGTGAAGGTGGGGGCACTGTAGTGGCCCCCCAGGCGCAGCACATCCTCAGTGCAGTAGAAGAATTCAGAGAAGCCATAAAATTCGCTGTTGCTGAAGTCGATGGGTGCTTTGTAGGCCCCTACCAGGGAGGCTTGACTGCTGTTGGGCCCGGCCAGGAGGGGCTGCCGAAGGACTTCCCCCCCGGCGCCC